TCGAGTTGGTTGATGGGGATAGAATGGTTAAGTGGTGCACCTGTTTGAACTCGTCTTCTAATCAAACGATTGTAGCCGAGAGAGGAACTAGTCTCGGCTGTTACGTTCACGGCCTGAACTACAAGGCCGTTGGGTGGTGCTGTTTGGTGGGTTTTGGGCGGTGCTCCGGCGCGCTGCTCAGGGAGCGACGGTCGTATGATATCTGGGGTGAGTGAGCGAATAACAGGGATGGTGCTCCGGCGCCTTGAAAATCAAGGGTCGTATGATATATTGATGGATGAATTTTCCTTACAAACTATCACTACTCCTAGGAAAGCAAGTAAAATATTGAAAGTGCATTACAGGAAAATATAAGTTGCTCCGTGGGAGGCTTTTGTTTGGTGTTTGGTAGTCCAATCGACATTTGGGATCGTGAAGCATGGTGTTGTGACCCCATAAATCCCGGTGAATCTCGGCCGCCGCTCTTGATCGTGGGTTCTGAGCTTCTGGCCGTGGAGACGCATTTATTGCTTTGATAGCTGGTGACCTAATCTCTCAAGCTGCAAGAATTCTTGTGAGAATGTCTACGTCTAATCACTCTGTCTTCTGTCGCCAAAACCTGACTTCAGTCACTTCCCACCTTCCCTCATGCATTAAATGCTTATTTGTGGCCAGTGGGTTTGCTGCATTAAACAGGCACTACTTCATTAAATGAAGCATGGGTCCCTGCTATCACGTGATGATCTGACTTTAATATTTATGGCCGCGATTTTGCTCAGCCTGCACTTGAGGCCGAGATGATCATGCCTTAGCATTTTTCTTTTGTCTTTAGGAAGGCAAAGCACCCTGTTGAAACGCTGCGTTTCAGCTTTACGAGCAAGTGCCAAGGCCGAGAAAGGGGGCTCCTTCTGCCAGCTCATGGCCGTGATTTATTAGGCACAAACACACATGTTATTTGGGCCAATCCAAGGTCGGATGAAGATGTTAAGGCCAAAACGAATTGCTAACTGTTCGTGCCTAAATAAATCTCGTCCAAGGAAACTGACCGAAGAAGACTAACAGAAGGAACTTCCTCTCGACCCTAGCACCTACCCTCGACCGAATGTTACGAGTCATTGTTCGTTCTCTTTTGGAAACAAAAGTAAGTTGGCAAGGCAAGGTCGTCACGGCCTCGATAATACTAGCCGAGGACAAGCTCCTCCGATACACAGCCAAAATAGGAAAAGCTAAGCAGCGTCGCCACGTGGCGTCATGGTCCCACGCTTCATTTAATGAAGTAATGCCTCTAATCACAGCAGAAAGCCCATGATCCACGTAGGAGCATTTAATGAGCCAAGAAAGAGGGGACGTGATTGAAGTCAGATATGGCGAGTAAAATCAGGGATTAGGTGCGAAAATCCCATGATTTTGTAAGGCTAAGCCACCAACCATCAGACCAGGGCATTAAATGCTCCTCTAAGGCCCGAGACGCAGAGCCCACCATCAGGGCGGCGGCCGGGGTTTATGGGGGTCACACCACCATGCTTCACGTTCCCAAATGTCGATTCGACTACCCACTAGCTCTGATCAACCTCACCATGCAGATTTTCAGCCTCATTGTCTCCTCAAGACCTTCCCTATAAATAACAGGCTCCAACTACATTTATAGGGTTCAACACCAAACATAAGCCTCCCATGGAGCAGATTATATTTTCCTGTCATTTACTTCTTGTCATTTATCTTCTTGTAATGCATTTTCAATACTTTTACTTGCTTTCTTAGGAGTAGTGGCAGTTTGTAGGAAAATCCATTCATCAATATATTATATGACCCTTGATTTCCAAGGTGCCGGAGCACCACCTTTGTTACTCTTCCGTTCATCTCATATATCATACAACCGTCGCCACCCAGCGACGCGCCGGAGCACCGCCTAAAAACCACCATCAGCATCATCATTAACGGCCTTGTGGCTCAGGCCGTGAACCTGACGGCTGAGATCAGTTCCTCTCTCGACCACAATCGCTCTGATTAGAAGTCAGACTCAAAACAGGCGCACCCCCCATTCACTCACACAATCAACTCACCCTCAAACGCACGGTAACCCGTGCTGGCACGCCTGCGCACAACCGCATCGCACCAAAAGAAGGAAGCCACGTGTCGACGCGGATCCCCTCGGCCCGGAACACCAGGCCGTGAGATTTGCGGAGTGCAACACTAACTCAGTCTACAAGTTTTTGCATCATTTTTCATCTTTTCCTATCCAAAGCCACCGTTGCTACCTAAAGCTCAAATAATTGAATGATAAACAGAAAAGAGATTAAAAGCACAAACTTAACTCAAAAACATAATCAAATCATAAGCTAGAAGGCTAGAAAATGATATACAATTATGAACTGATTACTAATCCACAAAAACCCCAAGTTTATGATTCTCAACAGTAGGTGTATCATCTTGTTTACTTGTTTAGATAGAGTGACTTCCACTCCTATAAAATATTTCAGACTACCCAAATCTTTCATCTCAAATTCAAACGCTAAACGCTTCTGCAGTTCCTCGATTTCTACAGTATCATCACCAGTCACAATCATCAACATAAATAATCAACAGAGTCACCTAACTAGCCCTATATTTAATGAATAGAGTATGATCAGTACTGGCCTATTGGTAACCAAACTTCTTTATAGCTGCAGTAAATCCACCAAACCATGCCCGAGGAGACTGCTTTAACCCATACATCACCTTTTTTAATCTGTATATGTTCCCCGTGTCACCAGTAATGCTATACCCTGGTTGAAGACTCGTGTACACTTCTTCTTCTAGTTCACCATGTAAGAATGCAATTTTTACATTAAACTATCTCAAGGTCTAATCTAAGTTTACTACTAAGGACAAAAAAAACTCTAACAATATTCATCTTAGCCAAAAGAGCAAAAGTATCATGATAATAAACTCCATACATCTGAGTGAACCCTTTAGCTACTAATCTTGCCTTGTTCTTCTTCACAGTACCATCTACATTATATTTAACTGTAAACACCCATCTACATCCTAACACTTCGTTCCCTTTGGTAGATCAACAATGTCTCATGTATTATTTTTCTGTACCGCCTCCTCAACACTGGTTGAAATTTTAATACTATCAATTATATGTTCTTTACACACAAGATATAACACGTGATCATACACAAAATGGGCAATAACATATCCTGCTTTGTCTTTTGGTAACTAACGATCAAGTGGAACCTCACAGTTCCGTCTAGGTGGTAGAACATAAGAATTATCAATAGTATCAATAGAAGAACTTACCTCAAGAATATCCAGGGGAGCTCGATCGGGTACTATTTGAGAAGCAACAGGGGCAATCGGTTCAATAAGAGCAGCGGCATCAGTTAATACAGCAAGTTCGGCTAGTGTAGCAGGTTTGGCCAATTCTCCCCCTTGTATCAAACAATCCAATACCACTCCCCCTTGTATCAAACCATCCAATACCACTCCCCCTTGTAAATCTAGTCAGTTATGTCCTTCACTACTAGTCTCCCTATTAATGACATGCTCAAGTGTATCAAAAAAGAACATCTCATCCTTAATGAAGGTAACATCCATAGAAACATATAGACGTCAGGTAGTAGGATGATAGCACCTGTAGCATTTATGGTGAGGAGAGAAACCAAGAAAAACACAGCAGAAAGCACAAGGGTCCAGCTTACTCCTATGATTCTGATGGAGATGAACATAGAACATGAGCAGTGCAAGTATCTGCTCATTTTTACATTCAGCAACCCCATTCTCTTATGGTGTTTGAGGGAAAGTAGTCTCATAGAGGACACCCTTAGTGTGAAAAAACAAGGATAACGCCGAATTAACAAATTATCCACCATTATCAGATCGAAAAACCTTGATAGGGAGCATAAATTGAGTCTAAATCATCTGATAGAAACGCTGAAAGATATCGACCACATCACTTTTATTTTTCATCTCATATAACCACATCATACGAGTGAAATCATCCATAAATAACATAAACCAGCAAACTCCCCATGCAGTAGAAATAAGGGAACATCCTAAACATCATAATGAACTGAATAAAATGGCATAAGCCATTTATTACAACTCAAAGGGTAGGATACCCGATGACTCTTAGCTAAAATACAAGTCTAATATTAGAAAGCAGACTTGATGCTGAGAAATTTCAGTGCTACCAGCACGAAGAACCCGACTAGTTTCCACGTCATGCACGTAGTAAAGTTAGCCCACGTGCCGACAGGATAGTTTCGTACATGTTGCTTGAATGTGAAGAAACATAAGCCTTCTCGAATTTTGCAAGCTACATGCCATATATGGTTGGAAAGATAAGACATAAACATGTCTAAATCATATTGTTACAACGTGATGATTAAACTGTTTCTTTGAGTAGCTAAATTTGAAACATGTATTGGAATTAAATTGTTGTAGAACATCGGTCAATTGTCATATTGACCGTGTTCTTATTTGCAACGAATAATTGGGTTAAGAACTAATTATGAGAAATCTATTCTTGAATTCCTAATAACAAATGCCATGTTTTAGGGTTTTTGTGACAATCATATTCTCTTTGCTCTTAATGAATTCTTGATTGTTAATTTGAGTAAATATCATATTGGATTTCAATTAAGAATACAAGTATTGATGTAAATGTCATACACTTAACATACACTTAAGAGAGAATCATACAACTCGAGTCAAATGCCAAGATCTTGTTGTGAGTGTCGTCATCATATGCTTGCTGGAAATTGATTATCCATTGTTGTTTATGAATTGATTGATTGTTTGGAGGTGGATAGTGAGTCCTAGCTATTGTTCTCAACCGATTTAAAACCAATTCTTCTCAAAGTCTAATTTAAATTTTCTTTTCTTTTCTTTTTCTTGCTTTGTTTTATTTACAAAATCAAATCAAAACCCCCTTGGTGTGGAGTGTGTGTGGAAGTCCTTGTGGCTTCAACTTTCTTTTGTTTTCGTGTTTGTTTTAGTTTTCGTTGTGTGACATTGATAAACATCGCTTTAGATTACAATCTCTGTGGGAACGGCCCTTGCTTTCATACATCTCTCTCTCTCACTCTCAAGTAGTACTTCATCTCGTTTCTCTTTATTACAATATTAGCTCTACTTAAACATTTTCTTGTCCATATAGTTTGATCCAAAAAAAACAAACAAAAAATTCATCAAGTCCAATACCCGTTTATTGATGGTGATGTTGAGTGGCAAATGGCGTGCACACCAACACCAAGGAAATCCCTAGTTTGACCACCTCCTCCTCCTGCAGCAATAGTTTCTTGTTGATGATGATGATCATTAGTAGTAGTAGTAGTAGCCGCACTACAATTCTGTATGCTGCGGCGCTTGGCATGATGATCATGACCATGATCATCCGGACTAGTAATTCCGTAGAGCCCACAAACTTTGCTGATATTATTCATCCCAAAACTCCCCAGCAATGTCTCCTCACTCGAAGTTGTTGACCCAATTTGAGCGGCTTTCTGCAGCAAAGCCGTGGCTGACATATTACTGCTGTACAAGGAAGGAACATCACTTATTATATTATTGCTAATTAAAGCAAGCGATGAACTAGAACAACTACTACTAGCAGTGCTAGTACAAGTAATGCTTTCTTGATGATGAGGAGCATTGCTGTTTGAGATTGAATAAGGTGATGGTGATGAAATCAGCTGCTTATTTCCAACAACCCAATTATCTATCTGATCATAATCCGACGGTGGAGGACAAGGACGATGATGATCATGATTCTTATTATTATTGTAATTGTTATTGCCGCCCATCATCCCTATAGACAGCCCGCGGGATGCCTCATCATCAATATTGTTATGGGTTGAGATCATTGGCTTGAAAATGGAAGAAAAATATTGCTGAGCCGTGATGTTATTATTCGGCCCTGCTACTGCTCCGATTGAGTAACCCATGTACTGATAATTGATATTGCCACCCATCGGAATGTTGTTCATATTGGATGCTGCGTTTACTCTAGCTGTTTCTTCAGCCAACGCATCGCAGAAGGCCCGGTGAGTGATGAAGCTATCACGCCTGCATGTCAACCACAAAATTATATATTACACAACGACTAAATTGGAAAATAGAAACTAATTATTAGAGGCTCTTAAAAACATGGAAAATAGCACTTCACAAAATGTAAATAAATAAATGACCATTGATTGAAAATGCATTTGAGTTAATTTTGTAAAAACAAATAATAATAAAAATTGTGTATATATATATATATATATATAACAACACATATATTAACGCATATATAATTTAAACCAATATCTATAAAATTAAAATTAATCTAGGAAATGAATGAATTAAAATAGGAGGGTATGTACCGTGAAAATAGAGTCCCACAGTCACATTTGTACTCCCGAGTGCCGCAGGTCTTTGAGTGAGCCTTCCAGTCTGACTGCACGGCATATCGCTTGGAGCACTTGTCACACTTCCACTTCTTCTCCCCATGTTTCCGGCAGAAGTGTTTCTTGATGCCCGTCAGATCTCCGAGAGCCCGGGACGGGTGGTGGTGGACGCAACTCTTTTCAGGGCACACATACACGCGCTTCCTCGGTTCTTTGTTTGTTCTCTGCTTCAGCTTCCATGGAAGGTTGTGGCCGCGACGATGGAGCTGCAGGTTTTGATCTCTTTGGAAGCCCTTGCCACATATTTCGCACAAGAATCTGTTGGTGGCCATCAGAGTCTTTGGAGACAAGGCTATTACTTCAGCTTCAGGATCTGTACATCCGTATGTATATAAGCATATGTATGTACATATACATGGAAAAAACAGAAAATAATTAAAAATGAATTTGACTAGGAAATGAAAGAAGCTTGCCTGGGTTTCCTGGGAGGTTTCTCTTCTTTTTCGCAGGAGGAGGAGGAGGAGGGCTAATGGATCCAGCAGCTGGGTCTTGAACAAACCCATTCATTGGTGGAATTGATTCTTCATTTAAAGCCATGTTTCAAACATTCAAGGCTTTCTCTTCTCAGTTTTGACTCAGACACCTTGACAAGAAAAAGACAAGCTCTCACCAAGAATAGCATTAGTTAGAGACTTAAGATTTGGAAGAAAACCCAAGAGTAATGGTGTTATTATATGCGGTTTCAACCCTAACAACAAAAGCTATAATATATACACGATATGATATATATATTATATATATATATCTCTCTCTCTCGTTGCAGTCATTTTAATTATCTACTTTTTAGGAGGAATGGAATAATATATTTTTTGAGAGGCGGTAAAAAGTTAAAGTTGGGAGGAGGGGCAGGAAGGCAAGAGAAAGTTGAAGAGCAAAGGTGCATGATGACACATATGATGAGGCCGGGAAAAAGCTTAGTCTACATGCCATTTCCCATTTCGAATGATTATCCCATAATTTGTTTGCCTTTAGTTTTTCAATATTTATAATCCACTGTCTTTATTTATTATTTTATTTTTTTTATGTATGTGACACTAATTTCTTTAATTTAATATTTCTTTGAGAGAGCCCCACTCAAATATTTGAAGGAAACCTAGCTAGCTAGCTGACATATATATTATCTATATATACATATGTGTTCAAAAGCAATTGTATATTATTGTAGATTGTAATATTTCTTTGGTTTTACGTTTACCACCATGGTAGGATACTTACCATTGAACAGATGAGAATGAATTTGGGCGGCAGCACCAAGATAATGTTATAAACTACACAACTCCTATTAGTTACTTTGAACATTTGCTATGCTTTATTTTATCTTTTCAAACTCTCAAATGAACGGTTTTCAGACAACTTTACATTCGAAATTATGAAAAGCTTTGGTTTAATTAATTTCCTGATCACCTTTCATTATAGAAATCCACCACTGTAATTTTCAATACTTTATATGCTTAATACCTTTCTTCCTCCAAACTTGTACAAATTTTAGTTCCAATCACTACTAGAAAAGCTCCAAATAAGTCACGGATATACCTATATCCGTAGCCTACTAGTTAAAATATTGAGATATTTAGTCATATACTCATTCTTAGCATTAATAATATAGATAAACCCTACACCATTTAATTTCTATAAACAAACCCAAAAAATGACAGCTGGCCTTATTGAATTTAATTTTGATTATTAAATTACTTTGATGCCCTATTGAGTGTTTTGGGTATTTTTATGAGGTTTGGGGTTGGGTTTGTTTTAAGAAATTAATGGCAGTTTTGTAATTTATAAGAAGTTAAAAACCTATTTGTTATGTTGTAAATGGGTTTTGAGTGTGTTTCTAAAGTCCATTTCATATAGGGTTTTTTTTTTATAATTTGGGTCCCTATATTTGGTATAATAGTGAATCTCCCCAAAATATTTCAATACTCTTACTTTAACAAACTTAATTAGTCCAACCTCTGTCTCTTAAAAATAAGAAAAAAATTATGATTTAATGAGTTAGTAAGATAATTTTCTTGCTTCAACTATTGCAAAAAAATTAATTACAATAAGATGAATCATATGTAAGCACTTCTAATTGTTCTTTTAATTTTTCTTTTATTTTCTAGCTTGAGATGTCCTTCCATTCAGAGGCACCTTCTTTAATATTTATTTTTCACAACAGTAAAATCGTTTTCAGTTTGCTACCTCCTTAGTCAAAGTGAACGTTTAAGACTTCCCTAATATAATTCTCTGCCTTAATCAAATTAATTAAGGGCTACTCTCTCTCTCTCTATATATATATATAAGATTACATATGATTTACATGGAAATCTTACAAATCTGCCATGCACGTGCCAACTGTCAAATGAAGATGAATCCAAAGGAAACGACCAAGTTTAACAAGTAATTAAAAGGAATAATCGACCAGGGCATCGATCGCCTCCTCAAATCTTCATCATCGTGTACATCGATCATGAGATTTTCATATGAACAAAAGTTGGAAAGTTTGGTTATTGGTCATAGTTTTTGAATGGTAAATAAAACTTTTAAGCTTTGTCTTTATAGATTTCATGAACGGGATGTCATGGAGTTCTATTTGTGAGGTTTTCAACTGATGAGAATATGTTTCATGGAGTTTTATTTTGTAATCTTCTTTTTTCATGGAGTTTTATTTTGTAAGCTTTGTCATTATGACGCGTACCCTCACATAGTCCAATTTGGGGATTTGGAGATTCATACAAATAAGCTTAATTGCATAAAAGTATATAACATCTTGTGCATATTCGCTAATCTCCAATTAGTTCGAGTTATCTCATGCTCGCAAGTTTACATTAATGTTAATAAACAGGTGTCTTATTACTACTTGCAACATCCTATATTGTAAGAGAACCAAAACAACACAAGAACTTCTAATTCATGACTCAGAATTCGGTCATTAACTGCTTAGTGAGCGAAGAGATCATGTATGCGTGACTTGATTCCGGATTTTCATTTGGACACGAAATTTGAGCTCCCACAATTTCCATTATATTTTGTAAGGGGCGAGCTAGGGCTAGGTTTTAAGGTTAATGTTAAACGAGGGTTTTCTTGGCAATGCAACTGAGTACTTCAGGAGTGAATTACTGGGATTAATTAAGTATGAAAGCGATGAGAAGACAGCCAGCTGACAAAGGCAGTGAATTTTTTGAAGTGTGAGCAGTCGTCTCCTTGTGGGCTGACTTTTCCTGCACACCCTTAATCATAATCTAATCATGTTTTTGCTTTCCAAGTTTGTTTAGTATTTGATTTTTGGAGTTTTCTTGTTGAACTTTGGTGTCCTCAGAATATTCTCTCCTCCTCCAACACTTTCCTCCAAAGGCTTCAACTTTCAAGGCCCGCCCTCCTTAGCTATAAGATTCCTATATAATTATTAATATGTGTTCTCTCTCTCTCTCTCTCTCTCTCTCTCTCTCTCTCTCTCTCTCTCTCTCTCTCTCTCTCTCTCTCTCTCTCTCTCTCTCTCTCTCTCTCTCTCTCTCTCTCTCTCTCTCTCTCTCTCTCTCTCTCTCTCTCTCTCTCTCTCTCTCTCTCTCTCTCTCTCTCTCTCTCTCTCTCTCTCTCTCTCTCTCTCTCTCTCTCTCTCTCTCTCTCTCTCTCTCTCTCTCTCTCTCTCTCTCTCTCTCTCTCTCTCTCTCTCTCTCTCTCTCTCTCTCTCTCTCTCTCTCTCTCTCTCTCTCTCTCTCTCTCTCTCTCTCTCTCTCTCTCTCTCTCTCTCTCTCTCTCTCTCTCTCTCTCTCTCTCTCTCTCTCTCTCTCTCTCTCTCTCTCTCTCTCTCTCTCTCTCTCTCTCTCTCTCTCTCTCTCTCTCTCTCTCTCTCTCTCTCTCTCTCTCTCTCTCTCTCTCTCTCTCTCTCTCTCTCTCTCTCTCTCTCTCTCTCTCTCTCTCTCTCTCTCTCTCTCTCTCTCTCTCTCTCTCTCTCTCTCTCTCTCTCTCTCTCTCTCTCTCTCTCTCTCTCTCTCTCTCTTCCTGCATTAGTTATTACTTAATTAAGTTTAATTTTAATCACTTTGTAGTCTTAGGGACGAAACAAATAGATCAGACAAATATAATTCTCTCTTATGAGTTAGGAACCATGCATATAGATATTTGAATAGAAGGGTTTGGGAAAAAGCAAAATGTTGTCACTACGGGTATGTTTGTTTCCTGGCTTGTCTTATAACCTTGAAAATTAACCTTGTTTGATCAGTTCAATTCAATTCAAACCAGCTTTTGAAAGTACTCTCTGATTTCAAGGCATGGACATGTCCCCAACTTTGAACCAAACATCCAACGAAACCTTATTCATGTGATATTACAGTACACCCCCTAATTAATTAATTCTATATATGATGCGACGGAATGCTTTATACATACTAAACAAAAAACAAATAGAATGAAATTTATGTTATCTATGTACCATGTATAATTGCAAATTGCACTCTTTGAAACCCTAGGGTGCAAGAAGAAAAAGAAGACCCTAGGGTTTGCTTTTGAAGTAAGAATTAGTAATTGTTGTAAAGCATCAAGTAATTGCACGTTCAGGAATTAACTTCAATGGAAATGGTGCAGAGGGAGAATGCTTTTCACATTTGAACGAAATTCCAAAAAATAGGAGACCAGATTTGGATCTAAGGAATCCATATTGCAGAGACCCACATGCTTTTCGCTTATAAAAAGTTGGAGAATATAAACTTTTTTGCAAACCCACCTATTTCATTTTTATTTTTCTCCTTTTGTTCTTCAATTTATTATGCCCTCAATTAGTTGTATAAAGATCTGAGCTACTTCTGGCCCTTAATTAATTAAGCACAAGAAGTTATAAAAATCTTTTTTCTTGAAAAATCGTAGCTAAACCAGACCATTAACCAAAGAGGCTAATTAATCAGAAGCAAGTATATATCTTATCATATGCATTTCAATTTGGGAGTCCCACACCGATGGTAAAATCTAGCAGCAACTCTACAGAAAACTGATTTAGAGCCTACTAATTTCATGTCTTATCGTGCTCGTTGAGTGAGATTATTCTAAACTAATAAAATAAGCATCATTACAAAATAAGGAAAAAGCTTTGCCACTAAATTTCAGTACCTCCCTTAATCAGTATTGATCAAGAAAAGCCAATTAAGTATGATTATATAATTCATTATCTTTGCATGAGAAGACGATATATATATATATATATAGTCTCTTTCCATTGAGGGTCAAATGATATCGGATTCAAGTGATTTTTTGTAGAGATGATCATTGAATGAATATCTACAAAATAGACATTTGGATTAGTGAAATAAAATGTGGAGTACACCCTACAAGAGTGTCCCTCAAATAAATGAGAGATCCTCAATGGAATATATATGTGTGAAACTTAAGTCAAGAATTTCAAATTTTTAACTAAATTATAAAAAAAATATATATGTTCACTAATTGAGAAGAGTCAAATTGTTGTATCGTGGTATATTGGACTATGGACATGCTGTAAGCTAGCTACTACCAACAAAATGATCATGTAATAATGCAATGACATAAAAGATCGAAGATTCTCTTTTTGCCTTAGAAAGCAAACCTAAAAGCGCACTCATTCTCTTTCTTTCCTATATTATCTTTTCTTAGGGAGGGAAATGGGACCATCTGTTCTATGAGAGAGAGAGAGAGAGAGAGAGAGAGAGAGAGAGAGTGCCCAACACAAAGATTCGAGAATGAAAATCCACGGAAACAAACTGTATTTAGGGGGAAATTGAAGAAAAAACATTTAATAAAGCATCAAATTAATTATGAGGACAAAAGTTTTCTACAAAGGAGATAAAATTAATACATATAATCCAGTTGATGATTCTTGTCCACTGTTAGGTCACTGAATTATTGGGAGATTGGATAGCGATTAGACAACTTCAAGACAAAGACTTGTTTGAAAACTTCGTAATTAAAGGCGTTCAAACATTCAATGCAGGCACTAACTGATATAGACTGGCCAAAAGGCTTGCGATTATGAGAGGGGTAAAGGTTGATAAAAAAAAAGTGATATTTGTTATGTACCTTAATTGTGGTTCCGAAATTGATGGTAACGTTTATTAAGGTCTCATTTGATAAATATTTATTTTTTATTTTTTATTTTTTTATGTTAAAAGTGAGAATGAAAGTGAGGATGAGTAACAAAAGTGGAAACAAAAATTAAAAACTGAAATCTATTTAAAATTGTTTTCACTTTTGTTACCTGCCCCACCCATCCATCCTCTCCACTCATCCTCTCTCTCAATCTTATCCTCACTCTAATTCTCACTCTCATTTTCCTCTATACTCTAGCACAAAAATTGAAAACTAATAACTAAAAATAAAATAGTTAACAAATGAGCCCTAACCTTTTTCTTTTGGGGGGTCAGTTAACCTCTATTCTTGAGTAAAATCAACAATGTTTGGCAGATAAGACTGAACTATTTCAATTAAAACAGACAAAAGTCCTACCCTCTGTAGTGTTGAAACTCAAGCTGTTAAATTGGACAACAGTAACATAGTCTTACAAGTGCCACCTAGAATGGTGAGACTCATAGGTATAAACTTTGACTCAACTCCAATTCAACACAAGTTGAGCCACCCAACGATGTCAAAGCCCGACAAGGGCATGTCTAGCACTGAAACTTAATCGCAAACAGTAGCATCAACGTGAGAAACGCAACAATTAGAGAACAGACGAATACGAGCATCATATATCAACATGAGAAACGCAACATTTAAGGAACAGACGAATAAGAGCATCATATGTCAACATGCGAAACGCCTAACAGTAACTGCACCCTCAAAAGTTCCATTAAATGTTTAAAATTTATCTCCACTGAGAGCCGCTGGCCATGCCAACTGGTGGTGCGTCAAAAGACTGAACTTTTAAGGTCCATTACTCAACTTTTAAAGGAAATATTTCCACAATTTTACAATCCGAAAATTGAAAAGATTACAGGTACAACCTGCAGAGCCTATTTCTTCCGGTTGAAGTCCAAATTCATCTCCTGAAGGTTCAACAACAGATCATCTGAGTTCAAGTAAACTTTGTTCGATGAATTTGAGATTGTATGTGCAATCTCTCTTGCAGCTTCAATCTTCCTCAGTGTAATAAATGCCGGATTGTTCGCAATAGCTTCACCAATCAGCTTGGCACTTGTGGCCTCACCCTGATCAACAGGGACAAATGATTTAAGTAAAATGTGTTTAAAAGTGATGTCCATGTTCATACATACAATAACTGTGCAACATTGCTATTTTATGTTCATCACATGGAACGAACAGAGATATTTAAAGACAGTAATAGGGCATATTTGCGTAAAAAAGATTTTAAAAAATTTATTATATAAACAGAGCTTTATGATTTATTTCCAAAGAACATCCATGGAGGACTATGCAATAAAAAATCACTGATGTCGATTCAAGGACAACCATTATATTATGATTTGGAACTCACAAATAAATCCAAAGTAATTCTTAATAGGGAAGCATTTTGAATTTGTAGCTATAAGGCACTGGGTTACATGCACGCGGCTTCTCCATGACTTCACTCAGGATATATCCATAAGAACCAACACTTTCAGTTTAATGGCTAGTAACCTTGCAATTAATACAAGATTAGTATATAATATGGAAAACGGGTCGTGTTAATGGGTAACGGGTTGACACGGCACGACCCGTTAAGTTAATGGGTGACAAATACTAGACCCAAACACTACCCATTACAATTTGCGAATATCCGACATGGCTAGTAAAGAATAAACCAGAAAAAATAAAATAAAAAACTATCACCGAGCCCAGCCAGCAACCCCTTATCTCTGTCCTTTCTCCCCCAATTTCCATCTCATAAACACCATAACAACCACTCAAAAGAACAACCCACATGGACGGACAGTGAAGAAGTCTTCTTCACTGGTTCTCAACTTTCACATCTAAAGAAAAGAAATTTGGATTCTAAAAAGAGAGAGAAGGAAACATAAAGAGAAGAGAGAAGGAAATAAAAAAATAATAAAGAAGAAAATTGGGGAAACAAGAAGAAGAAGAAAAAAAATAGAGAGGAAGAAGAAAAATGTGCCAGGGAAAGACGAAGAAAAAAAGAAGAGGAAAGAGGGAGAGAGAGAGAGAGAGAGAGAAGAATAACAAAATAAAGTGACGGCAGTGAGAAGAAGAAGAGTAAAACAAAGAGAAGCTGGGTAAGTGTTTTTGTTTTTGAAATATGAATTGTGATACATAAGTACAAAATTACCCTCCTTAACGGGTTGATAGCAAATATTCACGAATGGACCCAACACGACCCGTTAACTTAACGGGTGGCTAACGGGTTCACCTGTTTTTAACCCGACCCGTTAAGCTCAACCCAAATACTGATAATTTCGTGCGAATTTGTGTCGTGTTAACAAGTTGTGTGCAACATTGCCAGGTCTAGTATATATTATCTATTTTGAGAATGTGTTATAACTGACCTCTGCTCTGATGATAGCACTTTTCTTGTCTTGTTCAGCCTTGTCCACAACAAATTTAGCTCTCTCAGCTTCTTGTGCAGCCACTTGTTTGGCCTCAATTGCAGCGGTGAACTCCTTCCCAAAAGTGAGGGTGGTGATTGACACATCATCCAGCGCAATGTTGAAATTGGCTGCCCTTTCAGTCAAAATCTTTCGTATTTCCCTACTAACAGTCTAAACATAAAATGGACAATCAACACTAACACAACACTTAATCCAGAAACCATATGAGAGTAGATGCACTAGGGAAAAAGGGGTATAAAACTTCCAAGTGGCCAGATAGGAAAATGAAGAGCATATGCATAAATAGAAAGCAAGGACCAAGAACATGAACAATTTGCATCTTAAACCTACATCATTAGCAATTTCGATAGTGTTTAACTAATATACAATAAACTAAACTCATTGAGCGTGAATTGTCAAACATGGGCTATGCTCCCTACCTCTCTCTGAGTAATGAGCTGGCTGGCATTATACTGTGCAACAACAGCTTTCAAAGTTTCATGAACAATAGAAGGAAGGACTCTCTCATTATAATTCTCACCAAGAGTACGATAAACTGTAGGAAGCTGGTCTGGTACAGGACGAGTAAGAACTCGAAGCCCAATTTTCACCTGTACAGCACAATGAGAAAACAAAAGATAACATTCAGGATCGAAACTACGGACAATATAAGCTGAAACCACTGAATTACCTCTAAAATTAAACCTAGTTGCTAAACTTTTTTTCTGATGATTGCACATTTGGAACATAGGATGCAGGTTTAAATGCTAAAAGATGAATACTGGTAAAATTCAAATTTGGGTTTCCCCATAAAATGAGGAGAAACATACTAAAGTACCTCGTTTGAAGCAACAAGAAAAGTTAGCACTACACATCACATATATAAAAGGGGGTAGAGATTTGGTTTATAGGAAAGGAAGTGCAAAATGACTGAACAGAAAAGTAAACAACTAGATGCCAGCATACACCTAAATAAATCTCAAAGGTTTGCTTTCAGCTAACGATTTTAATCCATAACTATATGCGACATTTAATTTAAGGTTAGTCATTTGAACTGATTGTCCATTGAAAACCAACAATGAAAATATATGAATTAAACAGAATACTGATTGTCCTCCAAAATTTGATTGTCCAATTGACTGTCCTCTAAAATTTGAACTTGCATTGAAACTTCTGAATTCTGATGAAAATGAACAAATTTAACATATTCCACTTTTGAAAAGCAAGAGTAGAAGAATTAAAAATTCATCGGCAAGATTTTGTGCTCCCCAAATCCCAAACATGATAAACCTGCAAATTTGCATAGCTAAATGAAATATAACTACAAATGAGTTATAAGTTACCCTAAGACAGGAGAAACAATCAAAACATGATGAGTACAGTAACAATGTATAATATACTTTTCTATTACACAACAGTTATTGTGGCAGTTGCTTGAGATCACCTGTCACTGAAACTGAGATGCAAGGAGTAACATGCGTTCCCAATGAGACATTAAACATGTGCAACCAAAGAATTAAAAGAATTATTTAAGCATATATTACAAACCATGACGTTGTCAAAATTTCATGTAACAGTAAGAAAAAGAAAATGTATCAACCATTTGGAGATCGCGGCTGCCAGAAGTACTCTCCACCAGATGAGGTCGTGCACGGACATCATAAATGACTGGCCTCTCAAACCAGGGAATGATAAGATGTGTCCCCTCTGGGTAAACCTGCACATGCAACATTAGTGTACAATATTATATAACAGACCATAAAACAGCGGGCAAAGGCAAACAGATTTTGCAACAGATTGATAATGAAGTACAGATTTATTAACAATAAATGAACATATTTTGAAATCTAAAATCTGTTTGACACGTACACAGTAAGTGTACAAGCTGTTAGATTCATCTTTCACTTGGAAAAATTAAGCATATGACTTGGTAGACACCCCTTTAACTTTATAAATTGTGTGGCAAACTCCATTCATTGAAAAATTCTCTTAATAAAGGATACCACCATCCTAGAAAGTTTCTCGTATCTGTTAAATGATTTTTACATGAGATATCTCTGAAATATGTGTCATCATCACTGGTGGATCTGTTCTGTTATTATCGATAGGATTGCTACTCATGCTGGATCCATCTCAATAGATAGACAACATAAAACCACATATAAATAGAGTTACTAGAGGGATATTATGGAGATTTAAAACAGACATCTTTTAAACGAATAAACCCACAAAATAACGGCATTTAAATATTGAAAATACGCTCTGAAAATCAGCAAAAGTATGGACTAAATTTGCAGTCAATCATGGAATATTTTGAATTGATATAACTAACACGATCATAAATTTGTGTCTAAATGCATAAAGTGTGATATTGGCCGTAAGTTTCAAATCCACAGTTTGAATGCAAATGCACCATCAGTGTATATATTTCTGTATATATTATTGTTAGGAAGAAAGAATCACAAGAGGATAAAGGTAGTTTTGCAAAATTAATAATAAAAAAATTACATGATAGATCGTGAGACAAGAAATGCAGATAAGAAAGTTTCATTCTATATAATTAATAATTTTTTTGAACTATAACCTTGTCTTTGACACCAATTATACGGTTGAACACAATGGCTCTATGCCCTCCCTCGACATTGTATATACTGTTGGCAACTCCATACAAGCCAAGCCCACCAATTATTCCCACCTTAAGCAAAGCAGAAGCTGCACCACCGCCTGGCACTTTGGGAACCTTAACGTTGTTGAAATTCATATTCCTCCTTGCTGAGAACATATAAAGAAACAATGTGGTAAATGCAAATGTACCATGAACCAAGAAAATTAAACAAAATATTTAGTCATGAGCGCCACATTCTAAGCCTAAAGTGCAGCTACAAACTAGACAGAGCAATGTGAATCTGGAAAGAACTGCAAATAAGGGAGCAAGTGCTTATAAGGCAACTAATGAATTGCTAGAGGTTTGCTAAATGAACAAAGAAGAGAATCTGAAAACTTACTAACTCCTCTCACTAGAAAGCAGTTCCAATTAGGGCTGTGTTTCGGCCGGAACAGATCGGAAACAAATGTTTTGAATTCCGTTCCGAAAACTTTCGGAATTGATTTTCAGTCCCGATTCCGATTTCCAAAATTTTGGAATATAATAAATCCATTCTGATGCAGAATTTTCGGAAGTAAATTATTTTCAGAATTTTTGGATATAATTTCGGAATATCATATTCTCTTAGAAAAACACAAAATTCAATCTTTTTCAGAAAATCAAGACAACCAAGAAACTAAAATTCAACGTCTCAGCCATAAGAAACAGCAAAAATATAAAACAAGGGCTCAAAATATAAACAAGAAATCGTCCAAATATAACCAAACACAACTGGAATTACAATTTTTGTTTAAAAAATCCTATTCTCAGCAACCAGGCAGAAAATGTAGGCCAAATAATATAAAAACATAAAATTTGTTCCCATACCCTTTTCTCAGCTACCAAACAGAACGTTAGACAAAAATATATAATGAAAGGAGAGATGTGGTGGTGGTGGGTACCAGTGGAGGTGATAGATCTTTGGGGCAGAGGAGAAAGAAATAGAGAAGATTTCTAGGTCTGAATGTTGGGGTTTAAATGGAGGTTTTGGATGGCAGCGGCGCCGAACAGAGAGAAAGAGATAGAAGGAGAGAGAGTTTAGAGCTCAGAGCTCAGAGCAAAAGTAAAAAGGCAGAGAAAGATGTTGTTGGTAGATGAAGGCAGTGAAGGCGGCGCGACGCCAATAAGGAATTTTCCATGAAAATAACAAAATAAAACATGAAAAGCTCAACAAAACAACCAGCAAACACCAAAACCCAAGAATCGGTTTTGCAGAATCACAGGAATGACAGCAAACCAACCAAAAAGCAAAACGAAGAATCGGAGATCGCAGAACCGCAGCGGTACCTTAGCAATAGGTCTGCCGACGATGAACGAAGGACGCTGTGAGCAGAGCGAAACCGGAGATTTACCGGACCCAATTTGCAGGCCCCAGCAGCACAAGGGTTTAGGGTTTACACGTTGCGAGCGAAAACGCGAAATGTTTTGGCCTTTAGGACATATAAAGGACCAAGAGTATGGGCCAAGTTCTACCATTATTAACGGACCCAATTTTTTAGGCCTCTAATTTTATTTTATTTTGGTTTGTACCTCTTATCATTTTCTTGAATTGTTTTTTTTCTTGCTGTTATTTTTTAAAAAAGTTACTTCTGCTGTGCTATGAAAATAATTAGGTGTAAAGTAAAACAACTTCATGTTTGGTAAACAATATTTTAAAGTGCTGTTAATAAATACAAAAATCAGTGTCAAAATCGTTTGTTAATTTTTAATATAAAAATGTTGTAATTGTGAATAATGACTAAAATAGACGTGATGTTGAAAGTGTTATGCGCTAATCATGTGGTGATAGTGGTGGTGGTGGAGGAGGTAGTGGTGAAAGAGGGCATATGGAAGTCCAATTGCCACATGACCAAATACCAAGCCTTATGGAACTTGAACATAAAACTGCAAAAAAGACCAACTTACAAGGGCACGATGCATAACTCAAAGGTTCCTTGACTGACGTCCAGTTATTTCTATGACAAGCCTTTAATTATATATGAGTGCTCAAACAGAGAGATTATAATTGTTGGTTCAGCAAGATAACAATACAACTATGATAGTGTTCCTTTGTTTTGGACTAGGAGTTTGTTTGGCAAGCCCGAACGCCGTAACTACCCCCATCAGAACGGCCCAGAAGTTCGGATTGAACTGTCCAGGGGCATATCCAATCTGGGCCAAGATCCGCTGAACTGGAGGCTGCAACGGTAGCCTGACGCCCTGCTGAAGGACGTCGGTAAAGAACGCAACCTCACCGTCCTTAGGGTTGCTCAGGGATTCGGTAGGGCCCGGAATCCTCATCCCTACCGAATTGGGAATCATATATTCCGCCCTAATCCTGTCCAGCTCTCGGTATGTCAGTTTATTGAGCGGCAGGTAGTCTACATCAAAGAGTTGCTCCCTCGCTACGCCCATCGGCACCCTTTGATTCCCGCTATTCACTATTGTTACCCTCGGTAGGGTAACTGCCTCGGGAGACTCTTCACGGCCAGAGGTGGAAGTGTTGTGTAAATACAGCTGCACCAAAATGGATTCAGATGCATCCTCAACTTGTGATACTCGCAAATGCACGAGCCGTTCGGTAGTATAGCGTATGTAAGTGCGAGGTCGATCCCACGAGGATTGGTGATTGAATGATCCAATTCATTTTCCCTACACAAAACAGAAACGAAAAAAGAAAGGAAATAAATAAAACAAGAAAGAAAGAAAATAACTAACTCAAGTAGATAAGTTCCCGAGTACAATTAGATTAACGGATTGATTCTAGCTAAAGTATGATTAAGCCATGGTGTTTGGTCATAACCTTGTGTTCCTAATTCCCTAATTTGATCATTTGTTGTCTAACCTAAAATTAAGCATTAGGAACCCATTAAGCATAGAAGAACATTTTAAACAACCAAGTATGTATCTAATCCCTGTTGTCGAATGTCCATACATACTCTTCCTATTCATAGTTCAATTCGAATTAAAGCATGGTGTATACTCTTAATTCAAACCAAGATAGTTAACAAACAAGTTCTAATGGTGATCAATCATTCAAACAAGCATGTTAACT